CGTATATAATAATGACTGATTAAAAAAATCCATTCCCGTCTCGGATAGAAATAGTAATCAGTGCGTTGTTATGTTTCACACGATTTAAAATCCATTAGATAAGACGATACTACAGAAGAAAGGAAGGTAAAAGAGATAAAGAAGTTGAAATTATGGAGGAATCTACCTGCATGGTGAGTGCGTGCTTTTGGGATTCAGGTTTTTTACGCGCCAAAAGGAGCTAATAAAAATTTCTTTCGGTTCAAGATCGTGTTACGCATAGTCTCACCATTCTCTTCTCTGTTGGTTTTCCATAATCCCAAGATTCAGGTAACATAATTATCGTAGGCGAAAGTATCAATTTAAATGCAATAAATAAATTACTTTATTTTTAATTATATATTTTTATAGCGTTAAGAGATATATTACAGACACAAAGAAGTGATATAATATATGGTTTTTGTTTAAATAGAAAATAAAAAATATATCATATTGATTTAATATAAATAATTAGGGAATTATTTGGTTAATTATGTCGTGGGAAAACATATAAATGTTTTATTAGCAATATGTTTGAAAGTAAAGTTTCTATCGTAAATCGTCGATTTTCACGTTTTTATTAATTCCATTCGTCCTGTGTCCTCGCAAAGCACTCGCAAAAATGTAGTCGCGGGAAATTACAGCATCTCGCACCAAGTATCGATGATGCCTTATTTATTAAAAGATGCCAGCGTATGTGATCCGGATGTTAAGGAGTTCGGGTATGAAACTTCCGGGCCGTTTCGAGCACTTTTCTAGAGGAATTTTTTGCTTAGCCGTGTACATTCTCACGACCGCGTCGTCTCTCTTTCTATATCCCTCTCTTCCTCATAAAGCCTCGCCTCGGTGACTTCTTATCCTACGGCTGCCTTAAGCCCACTTTACACTCCAGAAACTTTCTCGTAACCTTCCCGGCCGACGCGTCACGTAATCGCGTAACTCCGCCATCCGCGAAATTTGTTGTCGCCTTTATCACGCCGGCACGTACGTTTCCCAGAGAAATTTTATTTTCCGCCCTGTAATCGTCCATCGACGGTTTATACGCGGCCGATCGGAGCGCGATGGCTCAAGAATCTACTTTACAACGTCTCCTGTTGGATTAAAAGAGTTATAGCGTTATATATCCAATCCATAACTGGTGGATAAGACGTATAAAAGTAATGGCGCGTAATTGCACGGATCATTTAATGTTGAAAATTGTCGTTCGCCTTCGCATCCGACATGCCTTTGTGATAGTTTATTAATTATTTTAATTTTCGATATAGCTGCGCTATTACGGAACTTCGACTAAGACGTCGTACTACGTTTGTTAAATTGGTAGAAAGACTCATGTTTATTTTGTTCTGTGAGTTTCGACGGTTTACATATATAAATACGGAATGAACATGTTTTGATCGTTACGGATGCGTGAACATTAACTCTTAACTCTGGGCCGGCTCGCGTCCCCTTTCACGGTCTTAATGATATGCCGGGTGAATATTCATTTGCGGATTACTTTCATGCAAATTAACGGCGCCACTCCTCGAGCATTGATGGCACTCGCGCGCGCGCGCGCACGCGGGTGCGGAGTTCCGAAAGTCTTAAAATGAAGCAGTTTGCAAACTTGATACGAACCTAATTACTCCTCGCTAGCTTTATCGTCAATAAAACATGATATATATCGCGCCACCGTAATTTCGATTTCGGCTTTAATGAGTCGTAAAAAAGTCCAAGTACGCGCCGACCGTAACAATCGTCCGGAAGATCATACGTTCGTTTCACAGAAGGTTGGAGGTGAGGGGGTGGGTCGCAGGGAATGTCGCGTATGTCGGCGTCGTAAAAATTTTAGCAACTTTTGCAGACGACGGCGGCGGCGGTCGATCTCGGGGGTAAGCAACGAGGTTAGCAATTGAACACGCGAGCGTTATCATTCAACGCCGACGCTTTATCCCCGTCTGTCGGATACGCGAGCACGAGAAACGAACGTAGACTAGACTTGGCGCGAGAGTTAATTGTATCCTCTCTGGCTATTATCGATCCACGAAATATCCGATATCACCGCGAGACCGCTGATATTACGGTAGATTCTCGCGGGTTTTCTGCGCTCACAGGTCAAGTCGCACATAAGACGACTCTCGCGCGACGAGTCTCCGCTGTCTGAATGGAAATATGAAATTTCCGACCGTCAGACGTGACGAGAGGACAATGTCGCCGTCGGTCTACCCGAGCTCGGACTAGACGAGTCTCTTTCTCTCCCTCCGCCCCGCCGTGCATTCTGAAATAGATAAAGCGACAATCCGTTCGGGAGACGCGGCAATAGCCGAATTTTGTGGCTGTCGCGTGTATGGAGATTTCATGTAAAGATTTCAATTGTAAAGAGCAGGAGGAGTTAGAGTTCACCGTACAGATGGAATAAAGATCGATTCAAAAGATTGCAATCGTCCGTTAACATCTCAGATTTCTGAGTCAATTCTCCTTTTTTTCTTTTTTCTTTTTTCTTTTTTTTCCTAGTCGCGGAGACGCAATCACATCTTCTTGTCTAATCTAGCTCATTCAAGTTCCACGTCGATGGACCCTGGTGGTTCCTCGTCAACATCCCGTTGCAAGGGGCACATCGTTGTGTCGAGACGCGCTCTAGATTTCGAGAGGACGAGCGTGTAACTCGTTTTTTACGCATACATTCGAACGGGATTGGAGGAGACTCGTGAAACGTGAGATGCTCTCTTCCGCCGATGGGACCGTTTGCATCATTTTGCATCGCGAATGAGATCCACTTTCGCAAGGTGTCACAATGAGATTGTAATCTATACGTCTCGTCGAGTAGTCAGACGGTCGGAGACACCTCTCGAAATAGATCTACAATTTAAAAGCCGCTTAAAGTCGTACCTAGTCGGACATAAAAGTCGTACCCCCCCGAATCCCGAAACGTAAGACGTCCAACGGGATCTTTGTACAGGATGTCTCAAAATTGTCGCGATGTTTATTTATTTTTTTCGACTGTGAATTTTTTAATTTCTACAACTTTTAGGCATGACTAGGAATGAATTCAAATTCTCATAAATATAGCAGTAAATAATAAAAATACCGCAGATGTCTAGACGATATTTAACAATTAAAAATAAAAATATTAACAATAAATGTGTAAGAAATTAAATGTTGGACGATTCTTTGCGAAATCCTTTACCTTTACAGTTGTCAAAGTCATCAATTCCTGAGTGTGAAAAAGGGAGATCGAGTTTTGGGACATTTCGTATACAGCGAACATCGATCATTCCCGGCTGATCCTCTTTCACGCGGAAAGATGGAAGCGAGAATTTGCAGTTACTGCTTTTTCCATGGCGCGAATGGCGCCTCGATCGCTCGCAGAAGTCGTTTTTCAATTAGGAGAAGATCCCGACGGCGTCCGCGGGGAAATTGATTCGACATCGATGTGCGTGAAAGGTCACGTAACGGGATTGATGAGATTATTGGCTCGAGGGGCTCGCCATTTCAAGCCCTAATGCAACAAGTGAAAATATTTTTATACATGAGGACCGATAGCTCGCGTCGATCGGAAGAAAGAGTGATGATGTAGATTTTTTTTTTAAATGCATCTCGCGATTAATTTCTTCACGTCCGCCGCCCAACGGAATGGGCCGTGTTAAACATTTAAATGGCCGCCTGAGGCTTCATTTGCTAATGAAAATTTAAGATCCACTTTGGAAACGCTATAGGCACAGCCGAGACATTTTCATTCACATGTAGAATGGCAAAGTAGATAATCTTCGTAGATAAGTTCATTATACAATTAATGTTAACGTTAATCATATAAATTAAAACATTAAGATCTAATGACAATCATGAGTTAAAACGCATGATAGTATTATATATATATGTACAATGTTAGAAGAGGAAAGTTGAAAAGTTTGTACAAAAGAGAGTTAAAAGTTTCGTATTTTTCTAAAGTTAGGAACAAAGTTAAAAGATTGAAGACTCTTTAGAACGCTATCATTAGTATTGTATCTTAATAAGTATTGGAATTGGAACACTTACTATATAATTTTGTCAATATATATATATATATATATAAAACTAATGATACGCTATGGGCTATAAGTTTGTTAAGATAAATTTCCACAAATAATAAATATCTTTTTTTCAAGCTATGTTTTATAACGACTTTTCACATTCACAGTAGTAAATGTTTTAATCTTGACTATAAATAGACAAGATTTAATCTCTTGTTTTATATTTTTCGAAATATATTTTTGATAAAAACAAAAGCAAGGATTTACCGTATTTTATTCATGCAAGCTAGCATGTCCGTGAAAACTTCTTATCTAAAGATAAGGAAGCTATTCTAAAGATGAGGAAGCTTAAGCGATTATTATGCATCCTTAAATTCTTAAAGATGTTTTTTCAACCGTTCCGTATAACGTCTGCTGTTATCTGATTGTCGCGACACTTATATTTGCTAATTACCATGATATTGCACAGATGTTGTTAGCGACAACGAGGGCATTGTGGAAACCTAACATGGGCCACGGTCGGAACAGGTGACTATCCCCACACCGTAGCCCGATCGATAATTCACAATTAGGGTGGTCGGTATGGTCTTGTCGGCCCTAATCTTCAAAGAGCCTCTCTCTGTGTAATAGCGTGATATCGAATAGCTTCAGCCTCGTTTCCTCCGTGTTCCAGACTTGTAGATCACCATGAACCGTCCTTTAAATTTGTGAAAGACGGAAGGGATGTGTTGCTCATCGAAGTTAAACTTTGTTGCCTTTGTCGCTAATCATCTGTGCGATACTCCAGCAAAATATCTAGTTAAAGTTATAGACCCAGTTACAGATTATAGTTGTGCGTTCGAAAGTGAGATTTTCTAATTATAATGGTTATTGAAATTTAATTTTAACTTGGTTTTCAATTCAACCACGTAGAGAGTAACGCCAACCAGTACTTTTATCATTTTCGCTTTATGGCACTGTAAAGCTATACTATAAGAAACGATTTGTTCTTTTCAGTTTCAGAATGAACGTGACGATGATCAACGGTGCCACAAGCACCATGGCTAATATTATCAATCTCGAATCTGAAAGACTCAGCAAGGCGATCGGTAGCAACATGACTAACGACGGTGACGTTTCACCAGTGACCTTGTCGTCGGCCTGGTCCAGAGTGGCTCGACTTCTGCTGTTGGCCTCTCTTGCCGTCGGCGGAAGCGTGGGTAATGTCTTCATGATATCCGCCGTCGTAGTGGAAGATCAGCTGAACAAGCGAGGTACGCCCGCAATTTTTGTCTTTACTGCAAATAAAAATGATAGCAAACGCAGAAATCGCTTGCAAAGGCAGAGAGAGAGAGAGAGAGAGAGAGAGAGAGAGAGAGAGAGACGAAGAGAGAGAGAGAGAGAGAGAAGTAAGTAGAGAGAGAGAGAGAGAGAGAGAGGAGAGGAGAGAGAGAGAGAGAGGGGGGGGGGGCAATGGTACCTGGAAGAGAATGCTCTCATCGACAAATGCAACGACAAAAGTTTACTCTATAGAAGTATATCCGACTAAAAGCCATCCAGGGGGTCGTACATTTCCGACGTGCCTCGCGACAACGTTCTTTCGTATATATCGCCACGGTAAGATCTCTTATCTTTTTCCTTTTTTTTTTCTTCTGCGTCTCTACGGACAAAAGCGTCCTCCGTTTGTATCCGGCCGGAAAAGGATGTAACAGTAAAGAACGTCGTCAGTACAATCTGTAGAGAAGATGGAATCTTCAGCGTGCCATTATACCTGCGGCAATGACGAGATCGATTTCTCGTATTATTTGCAAATCTCTCTCTCATCCTTCATAGATATGCCGATGTGATAATAAATAATCCCTGGACACTATCGTGCGTCGTTGTCTCTGCGTCAGCTCGTGCTCTCAGACCGACCCGAGATAATTATTATTTGCACGCGAGTACTCTGCACGGAGCGTAATAACAATGACACTGTGAATAGAATGGTATACAAAGCAATGGGGATGGAAATGTAATTACATTGTCGGCTAAGAGTATATCGCTCTTCCTCGTCTGTCTTCTTATCTTTATATTCAATTTAAATCCACAAGTTTAATTCGTTATGAAGAAACTCGCTTGAAAATAATTTGTCCGCAAATTATGCCGCAAAACTTTTGACCTAAAAGAAGTATCTAGTGATAAACTTGACAGATTTAAAAGTGTTACTTTGTTATCAATGAAATTTTAAAGAGAATAGCAAGATTTTAATATCAATATTAAATATTTGGATAATTTTAAATCTCGAATATGAAGATTACAATGTTCCCTTTATTCGTGGGAGTCATGGTTTTAATCTTTACTGTGTTATATTTTTTTACTTATATATTTATTAAAATTTTTATTGTTCTTATGTTATGTAACGTACTTTTATCACACGTATATATATGTAGTTATATATTACAGTAGTATATATGTAGTTATATATAATTCCCTGAGAAGATTTAGTCCCAGAGCAGGAAATCAATTTTACCTTACTGTACTTTCTCTCTCTCTCTCTC